AATGTCGAGAAACATGAGTCTAGCCTCAGTCAGCTAGGCCACTGCTTCCTTGATTTTAAGTGCAATGTCTCAGGAAAATGCAAGAGATAGTCCTTGTCTTCCTTGCTACCAATTTCCTAGGCAAAGCATGGATATGCAACCTCCTTTTTAAACCCACCTCCTTTCCTGCCTAAGCACTGATCACACCTCTGCTTTACCCCCAAACCAAGGCTCTACCCTCTGCTCTAAAATTCTCTCTCAAAACATATCTGATGTTTTAGTTCAAATGCATTTGGTGAGGTACATCCATTAAACCCACCTCTTCTCCACTCTGGGCTGAGAAGTTCCAAATGAGCAATTATTCTATTTTAGCTCTGTTAATCACATCTCTTTTCTAGCCCTCATCTCTCATCATTCTATTAACAGAAATTAAAAGCAGGATGAAAGCTGCTTTAAAAAAATTTTTTAATAGAGTCTTCTGAAAAAGTAATGAATGCTCTTCCAACGTAAATAATCACTGTGGACTTATTAGGTAGATCCAGAAAAGTACTGATTCTACTTCCACCTGACCTTCTCTTCACTTCCGTTCCTACCACTGGCCATCACTATTTCTTGGACAACAGCTTTCTAATATGTCTCACCACTAATCTGCCCTCCACAGAAGTTATCTTCCTAAAACATACATCCAAGATGCTGTTTCTCTAAACCAAAACCTTCACCAATACATCATTCACTTGGCAAATACTAAGTGAGTATCTACCGTGTGCCAGCGGCTGTGCTGGTCTCTGGAGATTTCATAGACAACAACAGCGATGGCCACTGCCCTCATGGAGCCTATGGTCAGGGGTGGGAAATAACATTAAATGAGGAGACAAACATAACTACAAATTGTGTTGACTGCTAAATACAAAGCAAAAACAACAAAAAAATGAGAGTGCTATTAAAAAAGAAAAATAACGGGGACAAGCCTACATTAGATTGGGTCAGGGGAGGCCTCTCCGAGTAGGTGTAATTTAACCTGAGATCTGAAGGAAGAAAAGGCAGGTAGGTAAAAAGTTGCAGGGAGAAGAGAGTATTTCAGGTAGAGAGGAGTTTGGGGAAAGGGACAGGACTTAAAGCAGGAAAGATGCTGAAATGTCAGAGGAACCAACAGCCAGGATGGCTGAAATGTACTACAGTAGAATATGGTTCCTCATTCCCAGGGGGATGAGGTTCACAACATCACCAAGAACTTTCACATTCTGGCCTCAACCCCCTTTCCCACCTTCCTTTTTATTACCTTTCTCTCATATGCAATCCACACTTTGAACACCCAACTACTTCCATTCCCACTCACAAGAGATCACGTTTCATACCTCCCTGCCAGTGTTCACGCTGTTGCTTCTGCCTAAAATGTTCCTTTTTTGAAGTGTTTCGGGTGCCACCAGGCACAATTTATCTCTTCCATTCTTAGTGATTCCAGAGCATTTTGTTTATAAAGCTTTTATATACTTTTTGTTATATACTTTTAAGACTGATTTGTATTATAATTAGTTATGTATACATTTGTCTTCTCTACAAGAGTATGACTATAAACCACATCAGTTATTTTTGTATCTCCTTCCCTGATCTTTTCAACATAAAACACAATGCTCAGTAAATTTTTTGGATTTGTTTTAGTATGAGTTTTCATAATTAGGTTGCAGCTATAACATTTTAACTACATTATACTAGATTACTAGTATTAAGTTGCAAAGTATTTGTTTTAGAACAATAAACAGTTTGTAATCATAGCCAAGTCTTTGTAGAAAACCAATGAAATTAAGAAATAAAAATATAACTAAAATACTCCCTCAGCATCACTCAGAGTAAAACAGACAAAGGATATTTCCCTTAATATTTACTGAGGCATGCCCTAGCATTAAGTTTCCTTGCCACAGTCAAAAGTAATCAGAAGATAAAGGAAAAACAGGTTTGCCACTTTTACAAAAACAGAAGTATAATTACTTGATAAGGTCTTCTAAATGATAGCTATTCCAACATCAGTCCACCCAGTTACATTCATAGAAAGTGCTAACCTCTTTTTCCCTGAGTACCATTCAATGAAGAACCAATGTAAAACCAGAGGAAGCATAGCCATAAATCCAAGATAGAGCCAATCATAAAGTTCTGGAGACTCTGTGCAAGGCTGACAATACTTCTGTGCATTTGTTCTCTGTCCTCTTGGACACACCTATGATATATAAGAACAGTATTTTATGTAGAGGTATTATCCTAGAACGTTAACACCTCCAAAAAATCATTCACTAAGACATCACATTTCAGTTTAAACATCTGTTTACATGTGCATCTTTTAAAAATAAAAGAGAAAGCATAAGTAAAATAAAAAGCAATCTACATTGCATTTGCTATACCTGTATAAGGTTATTAAAGGACTCTTTATTAAGTTACTAAAATAGTTGACTAATATTACATGAAAAACCTAGTTATTAACACCATATAAAAACTGCAGAGAAATGCTCTGGAGTTGTAATGCTAAATTATTGTCCAAATCACTTTTCTATATTAATAAAAAGTAATTAGAAATTATTATAAAACTATCAAATTAGAAAACTTAGTAACTGTGACCGTCAAGATGTATTATAGATATATAATCAATATGACAACACAAATAAGGATTTTATTAATGCCTCCATATTCTTTTACAAGTTGAATACATCGAAGAAAAAAGTTATTCTACATGTGACAAGATTTCAGAAGCAAAAAGATTTTACAAATGAAATAACATACAAATGTTAAGACTTACCCCACATTCTCCATATATTTCAGTCGAGCCATTTTTAAATAACAGGGTCTTCCCACAATACAGTCCAAGGCATGCTGGTTGAATATCGACAGCTTTTTAAAAACAAATGCCAGTATAGTAACATCTTTTGTGATTATAAAAAATAAGGTAATAAGAGCTGAAACATTTGGCAGAAATATCTCAACACACTTTCAATTAAAAAATATGTATTAGACAAAAGTCTTGATGCATTTATTTAAAGGTTTCCTTTTACACTGTGACACTATTGAAGGTTACATGGAACCTTATTGCTAATACTGTTCCTTAAGATTAAGGTCCTCAACCAGCAGAGCGGACTTCATGCCCACAACTCAAAGCCTAACCTGGTACGTCTCCAGTGGCTCCAACCAGCCATTCCCCTTGATTAGATGGCCTAGCCTTTTGAATTTCCTTTTTTTTTTTTTTTTTTTTTTTAACTAGAGGACTAAGAGAGGATGGATACTTTTTATTTTGCCCAGTCAGGACATTAAGTGCAAGCATACACACGAAATCTATTATCACCTTCCTTCATGACAAAACACCCTTTAATACCAGAAAAGCAGAAAGGACATAAGTTCAGAATAAAGGGAAGGCCTTTAAAGTAAATACATTCACCTTACAAGAAGCTTGTAAATTATCCTAACTTTGGTCATTTTTGTAGAGGACAAGTGAAGATTTCATCAAGGCTGTCACTGGGCCTCTGACCAATACTTAGGAACCACTGCATTAGAATCAACCCTCTGATCTCAAGGCTTGGACAACATAAAAAGCAGCTCTTTTTAACCAAAAAACTCAGGGCCTACAGATTGTCTTTGACCTCACCTACAGGGAGAAACTATCGAAGGAGTTTGTTTCATCAGTGACATCTGATTCCCTTCCATCATTGACTCATTCCTTCAGTAAACATGCATTAAGTGTCTGATTCCACTGGTGAAGGGCCCCTAAAGATTCACGGAGGAACATGACAGAGTCCCTACCCGCAAAGAACCTACAGCCTCGTGTGGAATAAATCCAAAACAACTGTGGCCAAATGTGAATTAACTTGGGAAATTATGCATTCTATGGGTATTCTTGAACAATCATTTCCCAAATTCTTCATGAATTCACAATCTAGAGACTGCCTGATCCACCATACTCTTTCTTCTTTCAAATTCAAGTAGACTTTTTTCTTTCTCCTTGTGCTTAAGAGAAAAATAGAAATGGCGCTGACTAAAATGTCTCAAGTTTAATATTTTCACTTTTATCAAATTTCTGACTTTTTAAAAAACCCATGGCCTTCTTTACCTTACTTGACACTTATTTTTAAACCAGTTGTAATCACAATGTTCTAAACTAATAGACGGAAACGAGTTGTTTCAGATTTTTTGAGCAGGCAGAAGGTAAAGAACTGGAAACCTTCTATACCGGTTTGGCATCTAGCAGATGCATAATAAATACATTTGAGTGTAAATATTCTAAAATTTCTCAAAATCCAAGGCCTGAAAACCGGTATGATAAACTGAACGCAACAGCTTACCGTCGACCAAAAAAACCCTAGCTCCCACTGCACGCTCACTTTCCCCTTTGATTTCCTTTAGTAAAGGAGGTCTAGATTTTTTGTTTTGCAACCGTCATGCCCCTTTGTGAAAGGCCCCCCAAACTTAACGTTTGATGCTGAAGCAGGACTCAACCGTTAAGCAGCAATTAGCTTCTGCTTCCTTTCCTGTTTTCCTGCACTTACGCCCGCGCTTTAAATTGTCAAGTCAACTCTCAGGAATGTTAAACAAAGGGACCGAAACAAAGGGACTGAGGTGACATTTTGAACAAACAACAAAGGCCTGGCCTCTTCCCCCAGTACGCAGCCGGCGTCCCCTCTGCAGTCGGTCTCCTCGCTGCAGCCTGTCTGGAGCAGAGACTACCCCTATCCCACCTCGGCCCGGCCAAGAGTTGCTGGGAGGAAGGGACAAGGATTCGCCGCTATCCGGAGGCCACCCGCTGTGGCCGAGCCCAGAGCTGGGAGCGTAGGGAAGAAGCAGAGACTAGGATAAATGCTTCCCGGGACCTCGGCAATCACTCACCCATCGGCAGCTTGTAGGTTTCCTTGGAGAGTTTCGTGGATCAGCCGACCCCGCCGCAGCGCCCGGACATCCGGGCCAAAGCCGCCTCGACGGCTCCGCCTCCTGGTAACCCGGGCGACCGCTCCGAAGCCCCGCCCCGCCTCGGGCTTCCGGGTCTCGGCTCGAAGGCCCCGCCCTTCAGGTGGCGCTGCGGCCTGGCCCTCTGGCGGGGAGGAGGCGGGTTGGAAACGCGAGCGGCTGTGCGGTTGTCGATTCCCCGTCTGAACGCAGACGATGGCGAGCCCGCCGGCTGTGCCCCGGCTGCCTCCGCACGACACGAGGACGCCGGCTCTGTCGGTGGTGGACATGCACACGGGCGGCGAGCCTCTGCGCATCGTGCTGGCTGGGTGTCCGGAGGTGGTCGGCCCCACGCTGCTGGCCAAGCAGCGCTACATGCGCCAGCACCTCGACCACGTGCGGCGACGGCTGATGTTCGAGCCCCGGGGGCACCGGGACATGTACGGGGCTGTGCTGGTGCCGAGCGAGCTGCCTGACGCGCACCTGGGCGTCCTGTTCCTGCACAACGAGGGCTACAGTTCCATGTGCGGCCACGCGGTGCTGGCTCTGGGCCGGTTCGCGCTCGACTTCGGGCTGGTGCCAGCGCCCCCCGCCGGCGCCCGCGAGGCCCTGGTCAACATCCACTGCCCGTGCGGGCTGGTAGCCGCCTTCGTGGAGTGCGAGGGCGGCCGCAGTGGCGGCCCGGTGCGCTTCCACAGCGTCCCGGCCTTCGCGCTGGCCACAGGTAACCGGCGGGACCCTTCCGGCCCTGCAGCCCAGGACCCAACTAATTACACTGTCTCTCTTGGCTGGAACCCACGCACCGCAACTAACCCACCCCACAAAGCCTTTACAATCAGTAAAAAGGTAATTCTAAATAACTGTAAGTGTTGCGAATTTGTTTGGTGCATGCAATTTGATTACCCCGCAGATCTATCCGTCTGTGGTTTGGGGAGAGTCTTGAGGGGTACAGAATTCTGTGCTTCCCATACTCAGCGACTCATTCTCCACTCGTCAGGCATTCCTAGAGATTTCACAGTTGGGTAAGGCAAGGTCCACTAGGGTCAAGGAAAGTGCAAAGAACCGGAGCTCCAGGCTGGCTAGAATATGATTGCTAGACACATTATTACACCCTGACAAGTTAGTAAACACGTTACTAAAAGTCATCTGTAAAAATTGCCTTTCCCACTTATTGGGGGAAGAATTAAATATTTTCGAGAAGATACAGATGTTGCTGGTCTAATTCTTTAAGAACAGGTACAGACATTGCCTGGGTCCAAATCCTGACACACCCTTAAAGCTATGCGAACTTAGTCAAATTACTGACGCCCTCCGTGTCCATTGTATCTTCATTTGTTATCTCATTGAGGTTTTTTTGAGGATTTAATGAGTATACAAGGTACTTAGAATTTTTAAAAAACATCTTCCTAGACATAGAAAGACTGCAGAATATATAGGGTTGCTAGTTACAGTTCTCTAGGTGTGCAGAGCCTTTAAAAGGCTTTGGTGGGTTCTCTAGTACAGAGCCTGTATGTCATGTAAAACAGTGTAACTATTCATCCTTACAAAGAGGGAGATTGCTACAAATTCCATCAGCAAAGGCTGAATTCTATCAAGATGCTTTAGTAGTCTGACTGGAAGTGAGCTGGGAGCTAATTTAGTCAATCCAGCAATAGGGTTATCATTCCTTTTCTTCAAAGTCTTCCAGCTGTGCAAATCATTCCGTTAATTTGATCTTGATCCTCCTCGTGGATTTGGGTTCAAGTTTAGCCTGATTATAAATGTTATGAATGATGCAGTAATAGCCCAGGTGTTTGAGAGTCTTAGAATACCTCAGGCAGCTGAAACACACAAGTTGATAAAGAATGCCACTGGGCAAACTGATGCCAGTTTCCCAGAAAGAATGGTGTCACGTCGGGATTGGGAGGGAACTTGAGGGAGACAGGAATTTATGTTAGGATTACATCTTTAAAAACCTCAGCAGTTAACTAGCTTGGCTACCTGATTTCCCCTTAGGCCACCCCAGCAGCAGATTAGAAGCACTCTAGATTTTGTGGGAAATGACAGCTGGCAGCAGGATCGCCAACTACGTACATCATAGTTTGGGGTTGGTTAGGGCAGGGGCAGTCAACCCCACAAGCACAGTAGTTCCTGAAAGCATCACTGTGTGACCATACTATAATCAGTGGGCATTAATGGTCACTTTGAGCCATTAAGAAAATGAAATCCTTAAATTCTCTACTTTGAAAATTGCATAAAAGGCAGATGGGTAGTGTCCAAGATCACGGCTCTGCCCCTCCCCATCTCTGTGACCTTGTGGAAGGGCTTCCATGCCTCAATGTCATCTATAAAATGAGGATGACAACAGTCCCTACCTCAGGATTGCTGAGTTCATCTCCACTCCACCCAGCTAAAATGAAGACTCTTTAGTTTTATTCACTGTATTTAAGTGCTAGAACAGTACACAGTCAGTGACTATTTGTTGTGTAAATAAATGAAATTCAGAGAAGAATATGCTGATTGGCAAATGTAAATATCTGTCCTCTTAAGAGCCCTGTTCCATTTGGAAGTTAAACTTTTGGCTTTAATATTAACATTTATTGTATTCCTAAGCTGTGCCCACTATTCCCCACACATTATCACATGGAATTCTCAAAACAATCCCTTTAGGACGGAAACAGCAATTCCATTTTACGCATGAGGACTTCAAAGCCACACTTAGCTTTCCCCATTCTGGCAGTCCCACATTTCCATCTATTTCCTGAGTCTCCTTTCATTAAACCTGCTTTTCATGTTGCATCAGCATCAAGATAAAGACATTTTTGATTCACTTTTGCTCTTAAGTTCCACAGGTGTGTTTTACTCCTTTGATTATAAACTTGCTCTGTTTTGACACATCATGTGTTAAAAGGGTCCTGTGGTTCTACTCTAACTGGTAGCCCCCTGGTATCTTTGTATGACTCACTGTGCAAACTCAGGAATACCAGAACTATTTTATTTTTCACAACTTAATTTCTGAATTTGAGACCCCTCTCTGCCCTGTTGGTTGACTTAGCTTCATCCTTCCACAGGCTGGCCCCTTTTTTGATAATTGCATGAGAGGCACCTACATTTTCCTTCATAGTTTTCACACATTCATGTCCCAGAATTTCCTCTCTCTCTGCCTCTATGATGTTTTCTAGAAAAGATCTTCAGAATAGTTAACAAAATATGTATGTATGATTTAGGAAAAACATGGCATTCATGTTCTAAAACTTATACAAACCTCATTAACTTAAAAATAGAAAGATGTACTGAGCTAAAGGTCTATTATTAATTACATGATGCATACTCATTTTGAAAATGGATTTTTGCTCCATTCCTTTTTACAGTAGGAAAAAATACACCCACCCCAACCCCCAGAAATACACATATATTTAAAATGCTCTGATTTTTATTGCTGAAATACTAAAACAAACTTGTTTTCAAACACATCTTTTTTAGATCTCCTAGTGGATGTTCCCGGTCATGGAAAGGTGGTGGTGGACATTGCATATGGTGGCGCATTTTATGCGTTTGTTAGTGCTGAAAAGTTAGGACTTGATGTTTGTTCCACAAAGACAAGGGACCTCATGGATGCAGCAAGTGCAGTGACAGAAGCGGTGAAAGCTCAGGTCAGTACAGATGCTGCTATCATAGCAGATACCCTCCTCTGTGACATGGAGGGGATAAAAATGACATGTCTATACAGAAAATTAAATATCTCTGAGTTCAAATTATCAGTAGTACTAAGAATAAGGTACTGGTTATAATCTTAGACTCTAGAGCAAGACTACCTGGTAGTTGTAGTTTTGCTACTTGTAGCTTTTATAACCTTGAACAAGTTACATAACTTCCATGTGCCTCAGTTTTCCTAGCTGTAAATGGAAATTATGAAATACCTGCTTCATAGGGAGTTGTAAGAATAAGTCAATATGTGTAAACGACTTAGAATAGTGCCTAGCCATAGTAAATGTTCAATAAATGGTAACTGTTATTAACTTTAATAATGCATAATAATAATATAATTTGTGGTTACTTAAACATAGAAAATGTATTATATAATATTCCACTAATTTGAAATGCTTTGATATATGTGGTCATTCTGCAAACCTTGAAAATAATGAATGTAAAATATAGCTTACAAAATAGATTTCATTAAATCTGATCAGACTTTCTCTTATTTCACAGAGAACATTAATTCCTAGTTAGTGAATTTTTCCTATATTGCTAAGAAGTTACTTAAATAACCACTCAAGTAACTCTAGTTTGGCTTGGGAAAACTATTGTTATAAAATCAGTTTAGATAATAAATAATTCTAGAATATTCTTTCCTTTCTAGCACAAGTGTGCCTTTTTACCTAATTGGGACCTATATATAAAACTCAATTTTACCTAATTGGGATCTATATATAAAACTCATATACATATTTTAGCATATGAGAATTTATCATTCTAAGTAAAAAATAACTTAGGAAAGATAGAATCTAATATACTTCTACTAGTTATTTATGGGCCTATTTAACATATCTGAGGCTTTATTTTAACATAATAACTTAAATAACAAAATGAATATATACCATATCCCTGTTCTAAATTATCATCTTTCCAGGACTGTCAATACCAATAGGTAGAATTATTTTATCATAGTCACTTCTGAAACTCTGAATTTACATCCATTTTCTGTTCTAGTAAGCAGACAGCTAATAGTTTAACAGTTTGACACAAAATAATTTGACCTTATTTTTAATAAAATCAAGAGAAAAAGGCATTGTTTTCTTAATAAAAGGAGTAATTTTGAAGTTCTCAAAGCTAGAACTTCTCACCAAGGTGGCAAGGGGTGGACTTTGAGAGAGGAAGGATTCTGAAAAAAATATGAGTAGTTCTGTCAGTGGTGAAGCAGGCAGTAGGACTACTTTGTGAATTGCTGATTATTCATACTGCTAATGCAGATTTAGGCAAAGGCCATTTGCCGGGGGGAGGGAGCTAAAGTAAATATAAAATAAATTCATCTTTGTCCTTTTAGCAAACATTTACCAAGGACTTATTGTATGTCGGACACCATGCTAGATGCTGGAGACCCAGAGGAAGACCAAACCCCACGACCTTCAAGGAGCTCAGTCTAGTGGGGGAAGCATCCCTGTGGGCAGTGTGATGTACTGGTGCTATTGTGGAGGTGGGGCATAGGGGCTTTAAGAGGTCAGAGAACAAAGATCCAATATACGGGCCTCTTTAACTGGGTTATAGATGAACTCTTTGGATTTTAAGAATCCAAATCTCTTCAACTGCTTTAAATGACAAGTAAGTGGTAGTGGAATATACTAACTGTAAGGATACAATGGAAGTAAGGTTATAGTAATCTCAGCCAAGCTACCAGGCATTACAGGAATCCAGAAGTTAAACAACCAGACCTCCCAAGTTCAGGAAGCATCGCACATTTGGACCTGACCAAGCTTTACCACTGACGTGCCCTAGCTCCCCTGCCAGTGCCTGCTTCTCTCTGTGTGTACCTGCTGCTTTTTATGATACTGACTTCATCCTTTCTAAGTCTTTTTTGACCCATCCAATTGTTTCTCTTACCTAATAGCTTCTGCATCCTTATACTTTTTGCTTGCTCATGGCCTCTGACAGTTCTTGTATCTATCAGTGGTATTAATTTCAGCTCTAGATACTCATTGCTTGATTTTTCTACATTATCCCCTTCAAGTTCCTGAGGGTGAGATAGGATTGCCTTAGCTCCTCCTGCTTGAGCAGCCATGGGTGGCCTGTGAATTGACCATCCTGGGGTCAGTGCTGGGGTCAGCGGTTAAAAGAGTATGTGTTTTGGGAGGTATGTGTATAAAATAGGACTGTTCCTTTAGTAGAGGCTATGTGCAGGCCGACTTCCTTAGAAAGGGCTCAAAGTTATGATAAAAATCATAACTTCCAACAAAACTATCTTTATTCATCTAGAGAAAGACATAATTTCTAGTATTTAGTGCTGTGACCCAAAAAATATTTTTTAAATGATAAAGATGGAAAAATTATGTCTAAGTACCCCATATATGTTATTTAAAAGATAAGTTTGAATGAAAATATTTATTTTATGTGTGGTTGATAATTATTTTATTTACAGTTTAAAATTAATCATCCTGACAGCGAAGACCTTGCCTTTCTATATGGAACTATATTAACAGATGGAAAAGACACTTATAGTGAGGAACCAACCACCAACATCTGTGTGTTTGCAGATGAACAGGTATTAAAACTGGAATTTTTAGGCACACAGCCAGGTAATATGGAACTAGAACACTGTGAACACTCTCATCTTCATTTATTCTGCGACAGGTTGACAGAAGTCCTACCGGCTCAGGAGTGACAGCCCGAATTGCCCTACAGTATTACAAAGGGCTTCTAGAACTGAACCAGACCAGAGCCTTTAAAAGCAGTGCAACCGGCTCAGTATTCACAGGGAAGGCTGTGAGGGTGAGTGGCACCCTTAGCTTCTCATTTGTAAGTATGTTACTTTTGAGACTGTGGAGAACTAAGGTGGGTGTTACATAAGTTTTTCACTTAGCTCTTAGAAGAGAATTTTAAGACAGGCCTGAAAAAACTTCCGTTCAGCTAGGATATTGGTTTTCAAAGTGTGGAAAGGACCTTGAGGTCCTATCCATGGGTCCACAAAATCAAAGATATATTCATAATAATACTGAGACGTTGCTTCCTTTTCACTTTCATTCTCTCACAAATGTACAGTGGAGTTCTCCAGGAGCTACATGATGGGTGGTATACCAACTGACTGAATGCAGAAACAAATACAAGAAACTAGCTGCCTTTCGTTATGCCAGACATTAAAGAGATTTGCAAAAATGTAAAAAATGCCATATTTCTCATTAATTTTTTTTTTGTTTTGGCAGATATAGTTATTTTCACAAAAATTTGTTTATGACAAAATGTAATCGGTTTATTATTTTTAAATGCATTAATGAACAAATATCTTTTTTTTTTAATTTTAGAATTTTATTTACTGTTTTTATACAGCAGGGTCTTAACAAATATCTTTAATTCTCAATATAGAAAATATTAACTGATATAACTGAAATAAACAAAAACTCTTTGAGGTCCTAAAATCTTTTTAAATTGAAGTATAGTTGATTTACAGTATTTTGTTAGTTTCAGGTATACAACATAGTGATTCAGTATTTTTGCAGATTATATTTCACTGTAGGTTATTATGAGATGTTGGGTATAATTCCCTGTGCTATACAGTATATCCTTGTTGCTTATCTATTTCATAGATAGTAGTTTGTATCTGTTAATCCCAGACCCCTAATTTGTCCCTACCCTCTTTCCTTTCCCCTTTGGTAAGCACAAGTTTGTTTTCTATATCGGTGAGTATGTTTCTGTTTCACATATACATTTATTTGTATTATTTTTTAGATCCTACAAATAAGTGATATCATATAGTATTTGTGTTTTTCTGTCTGGCTTTCACTAAGCACAATATTCTCTCCATCCACGTTAATAATAATAATGGCATCCATAATAATGGCATTATTTCACTGTTTTTTGTGGCTGAGTAATATTCCATTGTGTGTGTGTGTGTGTGTGTGTGTACCACATCTTTTTTTTTTTTTGCGGTACGCAGGCCTGTCACTGCTGTGGCCTCTCCCATTGCCGAGCACAGGCTCCGGACGCGCAGGCTCAGCGGCCATGGCTCACGGGCCCAGCCGCTCCGCGGCATGTGGGATCTTCCCGGACCGGGGCACGAACCCGTGTCCCCTGCATCGGCAGGCGGACTCTCAACCACTGCGCCACCAGGGAAGCCCTGTACCACATCTTTTTAATCCAATCATCTGTTGATGGACACTTGGGTTGCTTTCCCATCTTGGCTCTTGTAAATAGTACTGCTATGAACATTGGGGTGCATGCATGTTTTTGCATTAGTGTTTTCATTTTTTCAGATATATACCCAGGAGTAGAATTTTTTGAGGAACCTCTGTATTGTCTTCCATAGTGGCTGCACCAGCTTACATCCCTACCAACAGTATAGGAGGGTTCCCTTTTCTCCACATCCTCATCAACATTTGTTATTTGTAGACTTTTTGATGACAGCCATGTTGATTGGTGTGAGGTGGTACCTCATTGTGGTTTTGATTTGCATTTCTCTAACAATTTCATGTGCCTGTTAGCCATTTGTATGTCTTCTTTGGAAAAATGTCTATTCAATTCTTCTGCCCATTTTTTTTTTAAAGATTTTTTGATGTGGATCATGTTTTAAGTCTTTATTGAGTTTGTTACAATATTGCTTCTGTTTTATGTTTTGGTTTATTTGCCCTGAGGCATGTGGGATCTTAGCTCCCCTACCAGGGATCAAGCCCACACCCCCTGCATTGGAAGGCAAAGTCTTAACCACTGGACGACCAGGGAAGTCCCTTCTGCCCATTTTTTGATTGGATTGTTTGGGTTTTTTGATATTGAATTGTATGAGGTATTTGTACATTTTGGAAATTAAGCCCTTGTTGTTCACATCATTTGCAAGTATTTTCTCCCATTCCATAGGTTGTCTATTTGTTTTATTGATGGTTTCCTTTGCTGTGCAAAAGCCTTTAAGTTTAATTAGGCCCCATTTGTTTATTTTTGCTTTTATTTCTTTTGCCTTAGGAGACAGATCCAAGAAAATATTGCTTCTACTTATGTCAAAGAGTGCCTATGTTCTCTTCTTCCAGATTTCCCAGCACTACTTATTGAAGAGACTGTCTTTTCTCCATTGTGTATTCTTGCCTCCTTTGTCGTGTGTTGACTGTGGGTGTGTGGCTTTGTTTCTGGGCTCTCTATTCTGTTCCATTGATTTATTTGTCTGTTTTTGTGCCAATACCATGCTGTTTTGACTACTATACCTTTGTAGTATAGTCCAAAGTCTGGACGGGTTATACCTCCAGCTTCATTCTTTTTTCCCAGGATTGGGGGCTTTTATGGTTCCATATATATTTTAGGATTCTTTGTTCTGGTTCCGTGAAAAATGGCCTGGGTATTTTGATAGAGATTGCATTAAATCTGTAGATTGCTTTGGGTAGTATGGCCATTTTAATAATATTATTTCTTCCAATCCAAGAGCATGGGATATCTTTTCATTTGTTTAAATCATCTTCAGTTTCCTTCATCAGTGTTTTATAGTTTTCCGCATATAGGTCTTTCACCTCCTTGGTTAAGTTTATTCCTAGGTATTATTTTTTTGACCTGATTTTAAATGGGATTGTTTTTTACTTTCTGATATTTCATTATTGGTGTCTAGAAACGTGACCGATTTTTGTATATTAATCTTGTATCCTGCAACCTTGGTGAATTTATTTATTAGTTCTAATAGTTTTAGAGTGGAGACATTAGGGTTCACTATATAGAGTATCATGTCATCTGCAAATAGTGACAGTTTTACCTCTTCCTTTCCAATATGGATAACTTTTATTTCTTTTTCTTGTCTGATTGCTATGGCTAGGATTTCCAATACTAGGTTAAATAGAAGTGGTGAAAGTGGGCATCCTTGTCTAGTTCCTAAATTTAGTGGGAAGGCTTTCAGCTTTTCACCATTGAGTATTATACTAGCTGTGGGTTTGTCATAAATGGCCCTTATTATGTTGAGATATGTTCTCACTATACCCACTTTGATGAGAGTTTTTAATCATGAATGGATGTTGAATTTTGTTGAATGCTTTTTCTGCATCTGTTGAGATGATTATGTGGTTTTTGTCTTTCCTTTTGTTAATGTAGTATATATCACAGTGATCGATTTGTATATGTTGAACCATCCTTGTGACCCTGGTATAAATCCAGCTTGATCATGGTGTATGATCCTTTTTATGCATTCCTGGATTTGGTTTGCTAATATTTTGTTGAGGATTCTTGCATCTATATTCATCAAAGATATTGGCCTGTAATTTTCCTTTTTAAGTGTCTTTGTCTGGTTTTGGTATCAGGGTAATGGTGGGTGAGGTCCTCAAATCCTAGGGTATAAAGGGATCCTGAGACCAAAATGTTTGAGAACCATTAAATTAGGGTTTGGATTTTTTTTGTTTTTATTCTATAGGAATGTTCCATTTTATATAATAAGATGTGAAAGTCCTGAAAAGTTGTGGAAAGTATTTTTGTAACGGAATCAAATTATAAATGAGCTAACAGCTAATTAATGAATTTACTCATAGTAGTAAGTAAAATCTACTGTAGTATGATTAAATTGCATCTAATAAATGAATCTACTCACAAAGAGTCCTTTAATATAGCAGATAACTTATCCTAATAAAGAGTTTTATATCCTAATGTAGCTGTTTTTAAAGTTTGTTCTTTTCTGAATATGGAATTTGCTTTAAGTTAGGGATTCATATATAATACGCTGATCTTATGGGATATGAAACCATTTATGTTATATGCTAAAACTTGGAATACGTTATCTTCAAGTCTGAGACTCAAGACAAAATAATAATCGACAACGTTTATTGGGTGCTTGACTATGTGTCAATTTCCAAGCTAAGCACTTCACATATACCGTCTCTTTTAATTCTCCCAAGAATCCTCTGAGGTCAGTAATGTTATCATCCTTTTTTCACAAGTGATAAAATGGAGAATTAGAGTTTAGATAATTTGCCAGAGGTCAAACAGACAGGTAACAGAGCCAGACTATGCATGTGGGTCTCTCTGAGCAGAGCCTGTACTGTTAACCACCATATTTTCTTGCTCTTAGGCAAACGTTTGATGCAGATGGGCAGTTTCACCCACGTGAGAGTGAACTCAACTCTCAACCACCCACTAATGATGACTCCCAAAGCTTCATCCCTACCATGCTTACCTGTGCCTCTCTCCTGAGTCTGACACTGTCCACTAAACTCATCTCAAGATGATTGTCTCAGAGATATCTCAAACTCAACTTGTTTACAAGTTCTTCCTTCCTAAATGTGTTCTTCCTGTCTCATTCCCCATCTCAGCTAATGGTGGCGCCAGCTTCACTTCCAAGCTAGAAACTATGGTCATATTTAACTCATCTCTATTCCTCACCTCCTACGTACATCAGTCCCCAGGTCTATCAATTCTGCCTCCAGAGTATCTCTATATTTTGTTCTCCATTCTCTAAAAACTGCCCTCCTGTCTCTAGATTTAATTGATGAATTAAGGTTCCTCTTAACACATTGCTGGGTTTCTAGTCTCTCTCCTCTCCAATTTGTTCCCTACTTTACAGCTAAACTAAATAAAAAACACAAATCCAGTCACTTACCTTAAAAACCTCCCATTGCCTATATGATTAACTCTTGGGTTCTCTTTAAAATGATAAAAATTGAGAATACAACTTTTAGGCTAGATAAACTATGAGGGCAGTATCTTGATATTCTCCTTTTACCTTCCTTTTTCAGGAAGTAAAATGTGGTGATTTTAAAGCTGTTATAGTGGAAGTATCTGGACAAGCCCATTACACAGGTACAGCAAACTTTATAGTAGAAGATGATGACCCACTGAGGGATGGATTTCTTCTCAAATGACTTATATGACTTTTAAGGGCTTTCTTTAAATTGTTATCATAAGTAAATTTTCTCTGAATTACGTGGAAAACTGTATCCAAATTGTACATGTAAGCCAACTAACATTCTTCTTAAAATAATACACTGTGGTTAAATATAAAGTCATTATTCCTGTTTATACATGTGTATTGGTATATTGCTTATAGAATACAAAATGCAGAATACTTTTCTAATTATTAACATATCAGGTAAAATTAAAACCTTAGTTCTTGTTACTTTTAAATATTCCTCTGTGGTAATTACTATAATATTCTGTTTTAAATGCTCTTTGAGTAATAGCTTCAATTGTAGCCCTCACAGCAATGAGTCTTACAAGTTCATTATTTTAGTCTTCCAGTTTTTGAGTAAAATAATGCCCTCTCTCTAAGCAGCATGCAAGGGAGACAGCTTATTATAAAGTCCTCAACACTTAGCAGTCATAAACTGGGAAGTAATGGGGTGGTCAGCTTCTCTGGGTGAGAGTTGTTGTAGCTGCTGCAGGGATGTCCTCTGTGCTGCAGAGCCCAGCTCCTATACCCATAAACTCGTGAGAGAAGATCAAGAATCAGGCTTTTGATATATCGTTAAGGCTCTTATAAAAGGGGTTGTTTATTGCATTACTGAAGTATAGGTACACAGTAGGAGTCAATCAATAAATCTCTACAGTGGGGCAAGTCAACATACTCTGCCAACTACATGCCAGGTAATTTAAAACATGAAGGACATGTGAACTATTGGCGTTCTTGCTAGTTAATTGTGAACCTATTAAAAAATAAAATTTGATCATTATCAGCATTATAAAATGAAGTATTAAAAATTATTCACCATGTAATTTTCTCAATATTCAGTAGACTTTTTTTCTGGTGGGTGGGGGGTATTTTCTCAGTTTATTTTAGATTCATTGTTTTGACCTTAATTTGTGCTCTGAACTCTGTCAGCCTTGAATCAGTAGACTCTTTTTTGAGGTAAGTAATAGTATTTCTTTTTTCGAGCATACAGTGAAATAATCAATTCATTTCAACTGGCTGTGTCATCCAGCAAGTCTGTGTAGACCCAGTTATCAGGTCTCTGATTGAATTACCTGACCAAAAGGAAGGCTGTAAAGTTAATGTTCTTGATTTCCCTATTAAATACACAAAAACTAATGTTTTCCATTCATTATCTCTTAAAATCTGTGGTAAAAAATTCACCTACCTCCAAAAAATAACACTAAATATGACCAAGAAATTTTCTACAGATTAGGGAGATTTGCTGTACTTTATTTTAATAGAAATAGAACCACTATTTGCTCTCTAAATTTCACAAGTCACATTAATTTGAAGAAAAAAAGACACATAGATTGTTTAGAAGTTTATAGCATTTTGTAATGTGCACACACATCTCCCCTGCTCTAACGAGGTACACTGTGAAATTTGATTGTTATTCTATGGCTACCGAGGGTGGGGAGTATTTATCACTGACATTCTTTAGAATTGTTAGCACGTGATGATAACAAAAATGCGGACTGACATTTAGTCAGTTTTATTATTGTTTCAAAATTCTCTACAGACAGTGCACCCCCTGATCAACTGCACCCAGGCCGGCACTCCCTCCGCCCACCCATGATATGCCACTGCTTTTGTCTCATTCATGAATATGAGAGAAATGCAAGCCAGAAGTGTCAGCTAACTCCCTCAGGTCGCATTTAAGGCTGTCAGTCTAGGGCTTCTGACCCCAAGTCCAGTATTTTCCTGCTACACTTCCTCTGCCTCTAAGACAGGACAGCCAGAACTTGTTCTATGATAATACTTTAACAAAAATGTTATGTTTGTTGAACATTGAAAAATAGATACTGCCTAAATCTTCCTAACTTCTAATCCAAACCAGAGCCAAACCCTTGCAAAAATATTCATTCCTTCTGTATTTCACCGTGTCTCCCGTGGAGTCAAAACCACTAGGGAAATCAACTGCTGTTCCTCTCACCTCCAAGTGTCTAATCAGTCACTAAGTCCTGTTGATTCTACCTTCTGAATACTGCTCACATCTATCCCTTCCCATCCTTGCTAAGGGTTTTGTCTCATCACTAACCTCTTTCAAGCAACCTCCTTCCCCTCATTGGTTCCTTCCTCTAAGGTCTTACTGAGTATCATCATAAGCAAAATGAAACAAACACCCCTTGTCCACCTTCCCTCTTCAGCCTGCTGTCTGTCACCCCTATTGCCTTCCCTTTGCAGTCAAGCTCCTAGATTCCTTACTCTCTTCTCATTGGGTACATTTTCTCATCTTCCATTTGCTACTCAACTATTGCAATCTGGTTTCGACCTCATTACTCATTGGAAACTATGCTTGATCTAACGACCAGATTTAATGGTCACCCAAGGGTTTATGCAATCCATGGTGGATGCTGCTCCTTGCTTCTTGCAGGCAAGTGTGGTACATTTTAGAGCACCAACCTCTACTCCCTTGGTGCAGAGCTCAGACACAGAGCCATCCACTGAGGTTCTCAAGACCATAGGTTAGTACTCAGGCCCCATTAGAACCCATCGGGTGCTGCAGTTGTGTGGGCCCAGGTCCATCTCCTCTTCACCATGCACTTGCAAATCTTTGCTCCAGGTCCTCTAGACTCTGTAAGAGTTGGGGCACCCTCCTCTTCGTCCCTTAAATTCCACAATTTCCGTACCATCCCTCCTTAGGACAATGCCTCTCATACTTCAGTGTAGGTGTGAATTACCCAGGGATCTTAGAATGTAGATTCTCATTTCCTAGGCATGGGTGGGGCATTTCTAACAAGTTCCCAGCTGATGCTGGTACTGCTGGTAGGAGGACTGCAGTTTTAACCAATTGATTTTAATTCCCTTTTTGGGCCCAGGCTTTACAGGTGAGTCTCCCCTACCTGGAAACTTCTCCTCTTCGCTCTGAGATACATAAGAAGCCTGCTACCTCCCTACCTGAAGGTAAAGAATAGAGCTGACCTCATCATCACAGCAACTTTTCTGAGAAGAGGCTGGAAACTTACATTCTCCTCTTTTCTGAAAAGCAAAAGTAAAACAAAGCACCCCAAAACACAGGACAGCTGATTTCTCAGTTGGCCAAATATGCCTCATCAAATACATCACTCACCTGCTTAGCTTTTCTCCCTTTACCTGCTTCTTAATTTTTGCTACTCCCTAGCATTCCACCTATGGTTCCTTTCTCTCTTCACTCAATACTCTGTTCCTAAGTCATATTCATGCCCACGTTTTTCTCTCTTGCAGAGAGGCTGACATCTCCCAAGTCTCTAAATCCTAAGCTCCAGAGCCATACTGCAGATTCACTACTTGGTGGACAAAGCAGACTCATCTGCCCCTAGAATGTGCCCCTCCTCCCATATTCCCTAATTTGATCAATGGTACCACCATCCATCGAGCCAGGAACCTGGGATCTATCCTTGGCTCCTTTTTCATGCTCTTTTGTCCTCTCTGTTGATGCTCTGAGGTGGACGTCTGTGGATTTGGCCGGCATCATTCCTTTCCCCTTCTTTTATCAACAACACTCTCCTTTTCCTTTGGGAAACCATCCATCCCCTGCACATAGCCTTGATGGGGCTGCCAGACAAGGGGTACTCCAATCAGACTGTCTCCTCTAAGACCTGGGATCTTGAGAGAAATGACATAAGGTCTGAAAAATGGTTGAAGCAGACTTATTTCTATAGAGCCCTAAAGAGATCACCCTCAGTTCCTTTCTGCTATCTCTACCTGTAGAGCTGCCCTGACTTCTCTTGTTCTTGGGGTTGGCTGTTAGACTGTCCTTTTGAACTCCCCCTATCCTTCCAGTAAATTCTGCTTTTGCTTAAATGAGACAGTGCCCTCAATGTATTGTTTATATCCAAAGACTCTAATCCATATACTGCCTCCTTCTTCACTGTAAATGCCTTAGTTCAGACTCTTTCATTTCTCCCCCAGGCTATTATAATGCCTTTTCTTTTTTTTTCCAAATCTATTTATTCATTTATTTTTATTCATCTATTTTTGGCTGTGTTGGGTCTTCACCACTGCACGCGGGCTTTCTCTAGCTGTGAGGAGTGGGGGCCACTCTTCGTTGTGGTGCGCAGGCTTCTCATTGCGGTGGCTTCTCGTTGCAGAGCACAGGCGCTAGGCACGCGGGCCTCAGCAGTTGTGGCACGTGGGCTCCAGAGCACAGGCTCAGTAGTTGTGGTGCACGGGCTTAGTTGCTCCACAGCATGTGGGATCCTCCCGGACCAGGGCTCAAACCCGTGTCCCCTGCAATGGCAGGCGGACTCCCAACCACTGCGCCACCAGGGAAGTCCCACAATGCCTTTTCTTAACTGGTCTCCCAGTTGCCAGATTCTCTTCCTACAGTCCTTATATTTTTAAACATTTATGACATTGTTTGCCTAAAACTAAGGTCTTTGGGCTAGGATCCTTATTTGTTGTTTCTGAAAACCTAAATAAACTAATCTGTTATATATTTTTGGCTTAGTTCAGTGGTTTTCAGCTGAGGTTGGCCTCCCCTGTCCCCCTGAACATTTGGCAATGTCTGAAGACATTTTTAGTTGTCACTACTGCCATCTCATGGGTAGAGGCTAGGGTTACTGTTAAACATCCTACAGTGCCTAGGATAGCCTCCACAACAGAGAATTTACCTGGCTCAAAATGTCAATAATGCTGAGACCGAGAAACCCAGTCTTATTTACCACCTTAAATGAACTTTACTTATACTGTAAGTTTCCAGTAGGATATTTTTCCTCACTAAAATAAGTGCCCAAAACACTAATATTGTTGATTCTAAGACCTGAAGGTATACTAGTCATTCCTGAGATCAGCGTTTCACAAACGAGCATCAGAATCACTTGCAGGGCTCATGGCTGGGCTCCATCCCCAGAGTTTCAGATTCAGTAGATTTGGGGTGTGGCCTGAGAATCTGCATTTCTAACAAGTTCCCAGGTCATGCTGATGCTGCTGGTCCAGGGTCCACACTTTGCAGACCACTGCTCTAGAGAACCCAAGGGTTTATCACACTTTCCCTCATTAGAGGCCATGCCCAGAAACTTGAGATGCAGCTTCCCTGGGCAGGCAGGCCCTTCCTGTTCCTGTATCTTCCCGCCAGATACCTGGAGCTGCGTCTGTGGCGACTGCTTGGCTGCCAGCACCTTAAACTCAAAACATACCACATTCCAGAGAACTGATGAAGGCTGCCAGCAGGGCAAGGAACCAGTGACTCTCCCCTCTTCCCTGACACGTGTGAGAGAGTAATGGTCCTGGGGTCCAGGTCCTTGAAGACAAGGTGACATCCTGCCTCCAGGATCCATATCCTAGCTCCTCAAAGCACCTGTATCAGAATCACCTTTGGCGTTTAGATTCATGGGCCCATCTTCAGTACTCCTGGGAGTCAGCCAGCCAATGTGCATTTTAATAAGCTTACTACATCAGTGGTTCTCAAAGTGTGGTCCTTGGACCAGCAATATCATCACCACCCAGCAACTTGTTAGAAATGCAAATTCTCGGACAAGACCCCAGATCTACTGAATCTGAACATCTGGGGCTGGGCCCAGTCAACTGTGTTTTAACAAGCCCTAGGTGCTTCTGTTGCATGCTCAAGTTTGAGAACACCTGGTTTAAGTTTTTCTGCTCCCTCAGGTTTAAGATCTCCGAATTTAGATTGTTTTCCACTTCAGGTTCTAGATTCCTTTCCTACCTGTAGATGCCAGAAACACCCACAGGAAGCAAAGCAACCCCCCCCCCGCCCCCCGCGTCTCGCCTCTCTGTAGGACATGTGTATCCAAGAAAGCTTGAGAGTGAACCCTTGTTGAATTTGGCCATCTGTGTGAGGACCAGTCCCGCTTTATCTGATCTGGCTGGGCAGTGGTCCCTGAGGGGGTCGACCTGGCACTCTTTGAAGCCCACCTCCCTGGCCGCATAACCTCGGGGAGAGGTGACATCCTGGACCGGCTTTTCTAGGGGGTACTCGGCCGGCGTCCCGCCCCACGCTCTCGCGTAAACACGCGGTTTCCTTGGCAACACCTGGAACGCACGTCAAAAGCTCCGCGGGTCGCGGGCTACGGTCAACCCTTCGGCCAAGCGCAACTCCAGGCAGAGGCCCCTGACGCCGGCCCCGAGCCATCTCGGGCTTGCGGGCGCCTCCCCCGGTGCGGGATGAGCAGACCTGCGGCCGCCGCGGGG